CTTAATACAATACGCGCTTTTGATCTAAAGTCTTGTTTTAATCTATGCTACACATAAGAATAGGATCAAATGATTTAAAGAATATACAGAATAAAAGTTTTGGTTCAAATATGTTACAATCAAACATAGATTTTGATGATTGATTGTTATTAATCGAACAAGTATCAGGTGATCTGTGAGTAGTCTATCGAAAACAACTTCATATCTCATTCTCACATGTAATACAATGCAATTAGTATGATCTTTCACAATATGTTGCTGTTATCGGTTCTCCTCCCTCCCATTGTCTATTTATATTTATAAATAAATAAATATATATATATATGTGAGTGTGTTTGCATTTCCGCACGATCTCTGTTTATTTTAGAAAGCAAAAAACTCACTTGAACTAACAAACGTTGTATATATATTTAGAATAAAAGAGAGGCTAATTAAAGATAAAAGAGAGGTAAAAGATAAATATAAATAGTGGGTATGTCTACAGTCAGCATCACACTGTAGTAATAGCTGAATTTTAAAACGGATGAAACATAATTAACTCTCATGTAGTTTTCAAGAGATCTACGAATTTTTTCGAAAAAAAAAACTCGAAAATTAAATGTTTGATGAAGCGTTACAAAAGGATTGAACATTCTATAAATAATTATAACAACTAACCTATATATTTGATAAAGCAAAAATTAAAAATATATCTTTATCTTTATATTATTATTTAACATTGTCCAATTTTTTTTCGGTCAATTGTAAATCTTATGAGTAAATTGTTAATAACTGTTTCATTTGTAATTTTATTCTGTATTGCCTCGGCATGAATATGTTTGCTAGATTTTGTATTTCCATCTGAAAGATGATTTTAATACATTATTTGAAAAGTGATTTCATGCTCGTTTATTCTTATAGTAGATTTATTCTTATTCATGTCTCAATTCATCTGCAAACAATAAACAAACTATGTATGCATGTTTAGTTTAGTAATATTAATATTAAACGACTTTCTACAATGATCTGCTGAGATAGAATAGGGAATTACGGATTTCTGTTTCAAATTGATTAATATTCTTTATAAATAGTATGATTTATAATAAGTAAGTATAGCCTTTTTAATTCTATTGATAGCATGTAATCCATACTTGAATATAATATGCATTCAATAAATTCCAGTTATCTTCATTGTTGATTGTTTTGTTTTTTTTCTGAGTTTTATTTACAAAAATATTATACAATTTATATTTTCATACTAGACTAAAGAAAAAGTCCAAATGCCTAAGAAACATTTCTACACTAATAAAATTCTCATACTTGCTCTTTTGTAAGGCGAGGAAAAGAACACGCACTCTTCCATTCTATTTAATGGGTTTCAATCATATCCTTGTAGAATAAGATTGTTTATTATCTTTTTTTTTTTACGAAAATTTTTCTATTCAGTCACAGAATATATTTTTTTCTAATTGTAAATTAGCGGTAATTTCAACAATTTTATTAACTTTCAAACTTTATTCTTCTATGTATGACAAATAATAGATTTCTTTTATGTACGCTATCAAAACAACTAGCCCTTCTTCTTCTTATGCTATAGAATCTTGCCCGCTGAACCCTATTCATATCTACAGAATTAGATCACACGCTATGCTAGCTACCAGAGAAAATAAAACGAGAGAATGAGGAAGAAAAAAAAATTCTTCTATACATTTTTGCCTCTTCATACAGAAAAAAAATGAGAAACTATGATCGTTCGACACAACACAATTATTTACTCGTACTCTTTCGCTTATAAGGCATTGCTCTAAGGGAAAAGAAAAAACTCTATATAGCCAATCGAACAGCAAAAGTTAACTTTGAACTGAAACTATGTCATCAATAATTCATGCGCTTACTGGACGTACTGATCATCCTGAAAAGAAATCAAATTCTTCTTCTGTTCATAAAGTTGTTTATGAAGATGTTCAAATTAAATCGATTGTTAGTAGTCAAACACAATCAAAAACAATACCAACTCATTCAAACAATAAAATTAATGCATTAATGGCTAAATTAGGTATAAAATGAGTATTTAATTATAAAAAAAAAACCAAGGAAAAATTCTTCGTCGTTAAATTTTTAAGGTTCAACACATTCACAAATTGATGAATATTCTCGACATCGTACTGAAGAAATATCAGAAGCTGTTAAATCTAGTATCGAGAAAGTTATTCATTTAATACAAACACAACAACAACAATTACTTGATGATGCTCAAAAAGAAAGTAATAAAATTGAAGATGAATATAAAAATAAACTTATGTTGTAAGTTACAAACAATTTTATATTAATATGAAAAATATTCTTTTGTTTTAAATTTCAATTAAAGATTTTTAAATGAACTTGATCAAGATAAAGCAGCAAAATTAGTTGAACTTGAAAAAGATTTAAATTTTCGACAGGAACAAATTCTTGAATCAGCACGTAAACGTATTGATTCAATTAATGAAGAAGCAAATCGATTAAAAATGGTACAAAAAAAAAAAAAAACTTAATTTCATCTGTCATATGTTTTTTTTTTCCTATTCTCTTACATTTATAGAATGTTCTTAAAGAAGCACAAGCGAAAACTAATTCAAAAATTGAAGAAATTGCTGAAAAAGTTGCTCAGGTATGATGATTAGTTTTACTATTTTTATACAAATCTTTTATGCTTTTTATTTTAGCTTGAAGCTGAAGATGCAAGTCGTCGTTTAACAAGTACAACAAAGACAATTATAACAACACGATCACAAGCAGAAGGTCATCCAACAAAACATAATTGACTATATATATACCGTCTTTATTTTTCAACAAAGAAAAAAGAACGATTGTATTATGTACATAATGTTAATAAACTATCGCATGTGTGTATTGCTTCGTTTCGCATAAATAAACACTATCTATAATATCATCATAATCAGTCTTTTAACTTTCATTTATCATTCCTATTATCAAGTTCAAATTCCGCATGTTGATTTCCATCTTCGCAATCGTTTATTAGACGATTAATCAAAATTAATACAGATGTCGTTTTTTTTTATGACGGCGTTGATGGTAGATTTGTTTATTTTTATTGTGTTAGAGATAACTCAGATTATGGAAGCGTAGGAACATGTTTACTTTGTATATGAAACAAAAAACAAACATCTGTTGGTGTGGTATAGTTTAAACGAATTTTAGAAACTAACAAAGAAACCTTCTCAAATGTCTCCTTTTGATTTCAATAAGTTTTTGTCTTTGGGTACTGCACAGTGTTCTAATAAAAACTTTAAAAAAAAATTGAGTGTGATTAAGCTATCAAATTTTGATCTAAACCTTTGTGCATACTTTCAAAAAAATACAATATCCATGGAAAATAAGCTATATCTTAAAAGTCTTATAATTCAAAGACATTTTGTTCAAAACTACTGTAGTTAAGTTTTCTATTTTCGAGAAGTTTCAGAACACAAGTTGAAAATACGAATTTTCTGAAAATTAGATGGCTTAGTCAAATTCAAATACTTTTAGAGATTTTTTTTAAAGAACACAATGGAGTATGTATAGGCAAAAATGACAACAACCTATAATTTAATCGTAGCTTGAGGCTAAAAGATTTTAAGTGAAGTTTCTTGTGATGTAGAAAAGAAGCAGAACGGACAATATTTCTTGTTTTAAAATGAAACATTTAGCAAAGAATTAATCAATTTTTTTTAGCAACAATGAATACGTGCTTCACCATTCTATCAACAATTTCAATTTCAGTTCTTAAAACAAGCAACTTTGTATGTGAATACTGGATGAATATTTTTTTTTTATTAGTTCACTCTAACTATATGAGATTCAACAATCGAACGAATATATGAAAATTTCGATACTGTTTGCATTGATCCAAAATGTAGAAAGTTACGAACTGAGAACCAATGCGTTTCAAAGCTATTCCAAGTTGGTGAACTTAAAGCACATGTTCAGTCAATTTCTTTCACGTGAGAAACACTGCTTTTCATTAGGAAAAAAAACATTTATTTGTTGTTTATCATTTGATTTCGTACATTTATCTGTTACTCGCAGAAACAAGTCAAGGCACAATTATTTCTTGTTGTTCACTTTTACATCGCCCCATGCTCAACACATTAAAAGTAATAAACGAAAATCGATATTGAAAATCGTTAAACTAACAGTATCACCGAAAATTTCAGGTGCATGAAATATTTTCAGTTGCTTCTATGGAAACTAGATCAAACAAGTAGGAAGCTAAGGGTCCATGCTTTTGTGAATCTGAATCCGAGTATGGAAAAACCCTCAGCTCCCACATAAAAATAAATACAAACGGTGCTAATGTATTGTAAGACTATTTGCACATATAAAACTATACTCAAACAAAAAAAAGGAGTTTATTAACAATAATCAAATTAGAAACGTGAGCAGTCAAAACATTGAATATATTTATGTACAAATGGACATGCATGTTTTGTTGCTGAACAAAAAACAGAAACAATTCTTGTTTATGATTTCATCTCTTTTCGATTAAATCAATAATAACCATGTTTATTTAAATATTTTTGAAAGAGAGATTTTGATTGAAGCTGTTGCGCACACTTTTCACATTGAAAATTTGGTGAAACTAAGCAAAATAATAAAGAAAAAATTGAACAAATGAAGAATACCTTCGATTGATAATTAGCAACATTCAATAAATTTAGCTCCACATAAAAATAATAAACCACAACGTGGACAAGCTAACATTTTTTCTTCTGTATGTCGTCGAACATATTCTCAGATTCATGATGGTTTATCTTGTCGGTGAGTGTAACCTTGAGAATAGTAATCTTTTTTTGCAATGGGAAAGTACAACATATGGATTTATTTTCTGTTATTGCGTATGAATACAAATCATTATTACCTTATCTATAGGGAGGCGTTTACGAAAAAAATTCGAGTATAAAAAGTGCTTCGATTTTCATTGTAACTTCACCCATCATTCCTCATCTTCTCATCGTAATTACAAAAAAAAATATTCAACAATGAAAGCTGCTATTGCTCTTATCTTCTTCGCTTGTGTTGCTGGTTCAATGGCTATTGATGCTCGTAGTCAATTCGTTGATCAACTTGTTCAAGAAGGACAAGCTATTGCTGGCACTGTTTTGACTCACCTTCAACAACAAATCCTCGGCTTAGTTCAACAAGCTTTTGGTCAACTCTCATCTCTTGTTTCTTCATTTGGTCGATTTGACTTAGGCTTCGATGTCAACTCAATCATTAACCAATTTAAACCTATGTTAGCTGGATTTGTCAACCAAGCTCTTGTTTCAGTTCTTGGTAGTCTTCAAGGTCTTCTTGGTAATATCTTTTACTCTTCATTTTTTTTATCTCAAGTTTATTATTTTAATGTATTGATAATTAGGTCGTGCCTCATTTGATTTTGGTGCTATCTTTGACTCACTCCTCCAACAAGTTCTTCCAGCCATCCAAGGAATTGGTCAACATGTCCTCAATCAAGGTTTATCTGCTGTTCTTGGTAGTCTTGGTAGCTTAGGTGGACGTGGTTTCAGTGATATCCTTAGTGGTGAGTGAAAAGAAACATATGAATATTTAACAAAAGGAAAGACATTTCATTTGTGTTTGTTGTTTAGCTCTTCAAGCCCAAATTAGCAATGCTGTCACAATTGCTCAAAGTGCTCTCACTGGTGCTGTTAGCAACATTGCCAGTCTTGGTTCAAACCTTCTTGATGCCTCAAAACCACATTGGGAACAACTTCAAGAACAACTTGTTGGTCATGGTCTCAATGTTCTTGGTTCACTCTCAGAAACCATCAACAACCTTCATGGTTCAATCACCGGTGGTCGTTAAATTTCTTTCTAAAAAAGAAACATTATACCTTATTGTTTTTCTGATGAAATAAAACTTTTTGTTTGAAAAAGCAAAAAAAAACATTGTATTCTTAAATTATTCTTAAGTGACAAATAATTTCGAGTTTTAGTTGCCGAGAGAAGATTGATTGGCAATTAGATCGTTTTGTTGTTGTTGAGATTTATCAAGAAGAAACTAAACGAACGATGAAAAGATGCATGGTATTGGCAGAGAGAGATTCTAAATCATTTTATAAAGAATTGAAGAGAATCAAGTAGAAAAACAAGATCAAATGGGGCGATAATTTCATTGAATGATAACTAAAGTATATATTAGCTTGTTTTAATATAATACAAAATGACTAGAATTATGTGATACGTCTGGGATCACTGGCAGATTGAAAGAAAGCAAAGTATATGGTTGATCATTTTCTTCAGTATATCTTACTATAAAGATACGAAACCATATCCAAATAAAATGAAATAAATATAAGTCATTACAATTAATATCGAAAGTGACTATAAAAATATGTTATACAGAATGAAACGATTATAAACCCCATGGAAATGTAAACGAAGGTTTCCGGAGTCTCACTGATAAGACTTTCGTCAATGCACTCGCTGAATTTTATGCTCTTTCTCGTGAAACACAAATAGAAGTTTTAGGATGTAAAATGACAGTGATATGATAGACCACAGACGCACCTATGTGAAATATGTTATCGTTCAGGCGAATTGATTCTATTGTCAAGTTTGATGAAGTAAAAGATAAGATCGAACCAGAGAACGAAAGAAAATCGATTAATTTGATGATGAACATTTTATTCCTCAGCAAAGCAAACATTCATGCTTTCCAATTGTTTCTTTTTTTGAAAGATTCAGTGTTCAATTCTCTACAAAACGGTATACAAATGAATGGTATAAGGGTAAAAACAGGTAGAACTATTTCAGGAGTACTTCAAACATTTAACATGAACTATTCTTTAAGCACACAATAAAGTTCACTTGAATATATGTGTTATCATGCTCATTTATATTGATTAATAAAACTATGTATTTTGTCGCGATTTTTTCAAATTTTCACGAAACGCATTTTTCTACCATAATTTTTAATTTTAAAATAAACATTAATCAGTCATAAATTATTTTTCGGTTTAAAATTTTCTTCTGGTTCAAATCTACTGAGTTATGATCTGGAATACTATGAAAGTATACCTTAGTTCTGATCAATTACAATACATTTCTTGTCGGCTAGGTACAAGCAAACAGTCCAACTATGTCAGATTTGAATCGACCATCGATAAACCTGATTCTGACAATATTTTTGTACCAATGACGTTGTGTCAAACGTAGGGCACATGATTGCATCGTAGTGCTTCGAAAGTTATTCATGCTACATGTTCGAAGTATTTCTCAAATAATTTTCTTGCTTATACTCCTATGATACTCATTTGTATATGGTTATGTAGAGGATTGAACGCTGAATCTTTCGGAAAGAAATTAGTTCGAAACTATGAAAACTGAAAAAGATATAGAGAAAATACTGAAACTGTCATTTATTTTGGGCCATTCGTTATAATGTTTTATTAATAAATTTCTCGCAATTATCGAATGGTTACTCTCTTATTGATTATAATTGTAGTTCTGTGTAGGATGTGCTTTTCAGTCACATGCACACCCTTCATAATAACACGGTTACAATTCATCTGTTTTGAGATGGATTCCTACCTTTTCAATACCAGATACAATTTTGAATGATAAGAGGGAAGATATTTTCGTCGAACGTTATGTTTATTTTGTAGCTTCACCCTACTTTGCAATTGGCGAAAGAGAAGATTCTCTGAAATACGGACAGAACAAGCACATTTTTCACTCATCAATACTAGCGAAGTCATAGTTCATTGATGTATCTCTCTGTTGAGATGAAATAAGTTGATCAACTAGCTCAAATGATTGCTTGACTTCAGTGTGGTGTTTCGGTAATTTCGCCTAACGGATCGTCAATACTATTTGAGCATAGTCAAGTACCGTCTGCTCATCCCCGATTTCGAAATATATGAGAGCAAGATCATAGTACGTCCGTCCAATGAGTGGATGATCGTCAGTCATCAATTCTCAACGCATTTTGATTGCGTCTTTCAGATAATCAACTGCCACTTCTCCTTGACCCAATACACATGTCACTAGGTCCATCGTATGCTTTGTTAGGGCAAGGACATTAAAACTGGAAGACTTGTTTTGTTTGAAAATCGATAGTGCGTTCAAGAGTATGTTATGTGCATCCTCATACCGCTTTTCTCGTCAGTAGACATAAGTTAGTTGGGTATAATACACAGGCATTTGTATTTGATTCGCTCTTAGAACTCGACGAAAAAAGGGTCACGGCTTGCTCGTGAAGATGGAGAGCCTTTGTTGCATCATTCAATTCAGAAAATGTAACTGCAAGTTCGATAACGTACGAGCATAATAGTAACATCATTCTAAATGTAGACGCAGTTTTAGGAGTTAGCACAACAAAAATATTCGATGGCATCTTGATAATTATCCATGAAGCGATAGATACGTCCCAAGTGATAGTAAGCACGTGATCGATATGAATTATCGAATGGCAATTTACGCAAGTGTCTTTGCAAATAAGTCATAGCAACTGGATAATCGCTAGACATCTCAACTAAAAATGTACGAAACAGGATGACCGCATCATAATCAATCAATAAATCGTGAATGTATTTCGTATATTCCTGCTTGAGTTTAGGTGGTTTCACTGATTATGAAAATGGTGCCTAAACTAAACAGTATTTCTTTCTCTTCGAAACAATGATTCTGTTCGGACACATCAGCCACTGCGTCTACAGGCGTTTGGGTAAAACCAACATCAATTTTGAATAGCACTAATTGTCGACTATCCATACAACTTCGATACTCCGACGTGCGTGTAATCGGATCGATTCCGATGAACATTGTAGCAATTTCTGGGCACAGTAATGAGGAAAAGAATTCATTTGTTTCTACTAGTGTGCCAGCACGCAATTTTTTGACCGTATCTCGATTGAGGTTAGAACCACGATAAACACGAAATGGTAATCTTTGTTGTTCTCTCGTAAGTACTGTAACTTCCTCTAAACGCTTATGCAAGTCAATCATATAGAAACGTTAAACATATAGAGCTCAAGGATCTTCCATACGCAAAGCTTCGTTAACAATGGTGTGTAAAAAAGTGTCCTTTGTATACCAGTGAATAGCATCAGCTTGTTAATAACTGCGTTCAGACCTAACAATTTTCACCAACCGTGCATGATTGTCGTAATATGCTGGATGTCTTCGGCACTCTGTGAGCATTTCTTGCTTAACATCATGTGAGTTGCAGGACATTGACATAAGAATGAATAAAAGGGAAATGATAATGCAAACCATATCGATTCGAATCGAACTACTGCAAAACAGTTCATCAATGCAGTATACTATCTGTGTCTGGACGATAATAAGAAGAAACATCATTGCTTTTTCAGCAAAGTATCGCCATTTGTGCAAATATCAAAACGCGCACATAAAGTTTCAAATATTGTCGGGACAAGACGTCTCACGAATGCACTCTATGCCATGAAAATGTTGACTTGCCTTAAAATCAGCTGTGCTCTGAGTATTTCCTGACGAGCATCACTCAAAATAAAAAATAATCCAACATTAGAATCGTGTTCAGAATAGAAGAGGATGTGAATATCTCTTTTATCATATCTATATCCTCAAAGAAAAGATACCATACGAAACCAAGAATGGTTTTGTGCGCGCTACGAAGTTAAAAAATATTTTCGTACATGGACGAAACTTGAAAACGGCTTCGAATTCGTTGTAAAAATGGTTCCGTATGGTACCTTTTCTTTCAGTGTACGCATATTCATACTCACATCCACATCCCTACATCTTATGTGACGAAGTATCGAACTGTATGAAGTGGGATACCAAAAATTGATGTTTTGGGATTTGAGTTATTTCGAATCCTTTGAATTTAAAGTTGTTTTGAAAAAGTCGGTTTATCTCTCAATCAGTATGTTATTTTTTACAAGAAATATTACAAGTCAGAAATTGGCAAGGCAAATTAAGGCACGTTTTGACTAAATTTTAAATCATTTATCGAGAGAGGACGAACAGAACGCAAGCGATATAAACGTCAGTACTCGATAAGTGACTTGAAACCTAGTCAAAACTTGATTTGACTTGCTTTCAACACTAACTATGAACTCTATAGGCTTAAAATTTTCATTAGAAAGTTTTCTATTTGAAAAAATGTTCTTTACATATTCCTTTCCTTGTCGAAATTTTCAAGACATCCACGATTAACGAGGCTCATACTCGATGCATATATAGCTCAACGCACAAAGAACAACCAACGTTGTTTATTAGTATTTGTATGAGCCGGCAAGTATCGAAAGCCCGATCAGTTGATTTCCAAGAGAGGATGATGCCAAAATGGTTTGAGCTGTTTCTTGTCATGACCCTCACAGTGAAAATAACAAAACTTTGTTGAGGGAGAAAAGACCTTATCAGCTGATATTTTTCTTCAATAAAAACTTTCTTCAGTTGCAATATACTGTTAATTTTTTTTCTATTTGTTAGCGTTCTCTGGTTGTAGAACGAGAAAAACGACAGATGTGAACGATAGATTTATAAACGATGGTGTTGGATATGCTAAATCAGTGCATATTCGAACAAAAGAGATATCATTTTCGTAGAAAAAGATGTTGGCAAACATCTCGTAAGGCCTTTCTCTTCTGATTGAACATGGTGAATATATCGTCGACCTGAGATTGCTGTTATTTGTTCCGTAATTGCTGCAATTTTGACAAACATTGATGAACGATCACTAAGTGCATAACATTGGTTAGTAGTTTCCCCAAGAATGTAATCACTGCTATTTTTGCCAGGAGAAATAATGAGAATAGACTGTATTTCCTAAAATTTATTGGATTGAGAAATACCTGTCGCAACTGTTTTATTGATGATCATAACAATAATAATGCATTCATAGGCTCATGCTAGCTTTAAATACTGAATGCATTTGGACGCATTTGTGTAGTGTATAATATAATATGAGCGGAAAGCATTGATACGAGCGTTTATTTCGTTAGATTGCTTGAGCATTGAAAGTGGTCAGCAGAGATCTTTTATCCAGATGAGACATGTGTCACTGCGCACTGTCAGTGGGCGACAAGAGTAGTTACGTGTTCCTTTGATAGTCATCTTGAGACAAACTAAGCAAGATGCATTTAGTTCGTAGTCATTTTTTTAAATACAGTTGGGTTCAGATAGCTCTCCAGGTTGATCATTCCGGTCGTCGGAAACGGCGTCTTATAAGGTCTGAAACGCTATAAAACGGCTTAATTCCTGCCGTAAACGGCAACAAACGAAGTTTGTTTTTGGGCGCTTACAGCGCATATTACGATTGTATTTCATTGTATTCCTGGACTCCTGAAATACGATCGTATCTTGTCGTATCATGTACGACGAGTTATGATAATCGTGAACGACCGTATACCGTCGTACACGACGTCGTAAGTAAATTTCTACTTACCATTTTATTTCTTGTTCAAGTGATCTAAATTTAAAAAAACATTTATATTTACTAAATTTAAACTTACCATTTTGTTTCTTATTGAAATGATCTGAATGAAAAAAGTCATTTATAGCTATTAAATTTACAATTATCGTTCTACTTGTTGTTGACGATATTTATCCTGTAAAAAAGGGAACCTGTTAAAATCTGAGCAATATTAAAGAGTTCAAAAGTTCCTAACATGATAGAACAAGAACTTGCGAGAACTTGTATATTCAAATAGTAATTGCTGCGGTTTTAATAAATAAATAAATTTCTGTAGTAGATTTCAGAAGGAAACGATAATCTACGTGCTTTCATCTGTTGTATGACGCATAAAAAGGGATTTTGATTAATACACGGAATAAGGTGCAATAACGGCGAAAAACGATAGTCGTAACGGTCGCCCATTTCGGTGGTACGTAAACGACCATTGTAAACAGGCATCGTTTACCACATCATTTAGCCGTTTTCACCGTTTTCACACCGTTTACGGCCATTTACGAGCCGTTATATTTGATCAGGGTAGAATTCTTTTTGCGTTGTTTCATAGAAACATATCTTAAAAATATTGTTAAGTCGATGTGCAAAGCACAATATAATTGGTTGTCCTAATATATAAATTTACATTTTAAAGAGTGAATTAAATTTATAATAAACTTTTCTTTGAGAGCCTTTAGTATATTTAGGCCACGATCGCACGTAAATGTAATTTTATTGTTGTCTATCTATGATGTCAAACCATATAAATCCATTTGACGAGGAATAGCCTAAAAAACATTGCACATTTTCGGTTTCATCGTTCATATAATCTGCTTACTTGCGCCACACAATCACCACTTTTATCTACTTCTTGGTACTCAAAGCAACATAAATCCAATAAAATCAATTCATAATTTTTAGCTGTAAACACAACGGTTAAACCAGGATTATTCAACTTCCGAAATTGATCAGTCCACAGATCAGGACATAAACACAAACAACCACTTGCTGCTTGTTCTATTAATATCGGTTGTAGCAGTGAATGATATTGTTCAGCTAACTGATGAACGTTTTTGCATATTGTTGTTGGTGTTACTAAAAGATGAGCACTATCGAGATCTTGATAATTCTTACCTAAACAGTATGAAAATTTACTCTACGATAGACACAACTCAAATCTAACTCACCAAGATCTATAGCTGTTTGCAAGACAGTTCTCAAACCTATATCTTCGACGATGTTAAGTGGACGGACTGATTTGCATATCCATTTAGTTAAACCATCTTTCAGTCTTGTGGAGTCTTTTGAATTTAGCGTAACTGAAGCCGTTCTTTTTTGGATTTATATAATTTATCTTAAGATCCCTCGTGATGATGTGTTGATGATGCTGGTGCTTGTAAACAAACACCGCGCAAACGATGTCTCGTACTGCCACTTCCATCTGAATGAAGGAGTCCATCCGGTTTATCGTTTCGATCGGAAACGATAAGAAAAACTCGTACACCTTCATGGCCAACTTGCATGTACAACGCAATTTCGAAAAAAATTCAATACACCTACGGGAGAACAAATTTCGATGTCCAGAAATTGACTTCGACAAGATCCGCACAAAACTATGCTCTACATTCTTCATTCAAGGGTGTGGGTGTGGATAGGGTGCGGGTATGGGTGTACCTGACGAAAAGGTTAACCCACACTCGCACCCACCCACACTCACACCCATCCACACCCACACCCACACCCAGCCACACCCTTCAGACCCCTATGTCATTCTTATCAAAAGTTATGAAGCGCCAAACTTACCGAAAATGGACCTTTTTTCATATATTGAGTGCTTCATAAAATCCCAATGGCTCAATATTTTAAAACGAAAGTTTTATGGTAAATATAATTCACTGATGTATATGGTAATAAAAAATTTTAGCTCATTTGGTTGAGCCATTCGTGAGATATCGTTGTATTAGGATACCCATTTATGCATAAGGTGATTTTTAGGCCTTTTCGTAAAGTGCTCATAAAAAATCGAAGGATCAATATTTTTTGAATCGGCTTGCGTCAAAATTCATAAAACTCTTCCCTCTACAATATATCTTAAATTGAGAAAAATCTCACACTATCGATTGAGCAACTTCGGTCGTGGCTTACACGGACTGGCTCCTAAAGTTTTGAAATGCAAGACGATCTTGTAGCAGTAAACATTGTAAAATGTCAGGAGTACGTTCGTGGTTCTATAATGCTATCATGTGTCACAGTGTAGGGTACACAATCTTAAATAGTTACGTATCGAATAGTCATGTTTACATTATCAAGATGATCTCTCTATTGTTGTGAACACGGTTAGGACCGTTTAAAAGCGTTTGCTATGCGGAGGTATTTAATTTAGAGAATTGAGATATAATTTGTTGTGCCACGAAGCGACAGCTCTAGAAAATCTGCTTCTGCATTAGTTCAGCATAAAGAGCTGGTTATTTATTCCCTTGTATGACACAAAACTTAGTTTTTTTCAGAAATTCTCTAATGTTGCTTGTCTTTTTGCTTTCGAATTAATATATGCTACTAGCCAAAAGTATTTCACTCCGACCTCAGTTATTACAAAGCTGGATGTGTGTGTGCGATTAAAAACCTGCTCACACCCACAATCTCTCCTAATTCTAAAAACCACTGTTCGGCACGTTTGTCGCGGTCTGTGTGTGGGGGGACGGGAGGAGGGGGGAGATTCAAATTTCTCGCTTCACGCCGTCAACACTCATTTTCAATCATGTGTCATAAAATAAAAAACCTGATTTCATTTATGAAAATATTTAACAACTCAAGCTAAACTGTTCTTCGTCTTAATAAGATCATTGCTAATATCTATCGAATTATTTTTCCTCCTTTGATCATTTTTGGCCTTATTGGTCATTTGCTTGATATAATTATATTCACTCGACCAAAGCTTTTTTTAATTTCATGCTGTAATTATTATCTCACATCATCATGCGCTTCTATTATTCAAGTTGTATTGGGTCAATTATTTCGTTTATTAAAACGTAGTTATAATATTCGGATATCAGTTCTTTGGTGGTGTCGAGTGCATAGATTTGCAGTATATTCAGCTTATCTGACATCAACAGCTCTAATCACACTTGCCTCAGCCGATCGGTATGCTTCATCGTGTTATCAAGTAAAATATCGCCAAGGGGCTCATGTTAAAATTGCATGATGTTTAATTTCCATTGTTTTAATTATTTCAGATTTTTGTCATTCACATATGCTAACCTTATTTGCTGTCAATAAAAATGAAGACAATGAATGTTGGGCTCTGAAAAACGCTGATTATCGATTAGGTTTTGATATTGGGTTTTTTATTGCTCATGGACTAATCTTTCCATTACTAATGAGTACATTTGGTTTTCTTACAATTTGCAATATACGTCGACAACAACGTTATTCTGATCAACAAAATGGAACATCAAATTTGAGACGTTATCGTGTTCGGGACTTTCGACGGATGACACTTGTTCAAACTGCCTGTGCCATTATATTCATTCTTCCATATGTTATTCAAAAGCTACATCGAACAGTAACTGATTCTGATTGTGAAAGACCTGAAGAAGTAGCATGGGAACGACTGAGCTTATGTATAGTACGAGTGTTATGGTTTTTGCATGATAGTTGCTCCTTTTTGTATCTATACACTTTCATCCGTAAGATTTCGCCATGAATTATTTAGGTTTCTTGATGAACATCTACCTTAAAGAGTAAATCAAGCTCTAAAGATAACAACACCAGTGAAAATATCTGTTGAAAACAAGATCAATAATGAGACGTAAAAAAGAAACTTGGAATTGAAAAGGAAGAAGTCTAAGCTTTGAATATTTGCTTATAATTCTTTTTTTATACGAATTTCAATTCAGCATTGTCGTTTTTGTGTGTTTTTTCAGATAATAATGATGCTATTCTACCTGAAAGTATCAAAGTCAACGCATACGTTTATATTTGGTTAGCAATAAATAAAGAAAATAACAGGATGAAAATACTACTTTTCCATGATCAACTTTTGAGTTTGTTATTCTATATAATTGTGAAATTTAGTGAATAAAAGATAATGATATACATTACAAAGAAAATGATCTCACAGATGAGAATAGAGTAAAATTGTTTGCTCTTTACTGATAAGGCAGCATAGTGTTAGAATGATATCTAGAATCGAATATAAATAATATTATAGTATATTAAATTCAGCTTAGACAAAATAGAAGGATGTCATAATATCGATATCCCGAGTGTCGAGACCTGCAATATGAATATTCAGCAGAATGACCTCAATGTTCCAGCTAGGTTGTATATCCTTAGAGTTGAAGATTTTGAGTGAATTTGGGGTATAAGAAAAAGAACGAAGAGGTTGTCTATTCGTTCTCTTTCATAGTTTTTTTTTCTTTTTTCTGCTGACTATTCAGGAAGAGATTGATATACAAACTGAACTAAGTATTATAGTGTTTACAGCAATCAGTCATAACGAATACTGACAATATTTCAGACTAGTCATGTCAGTAGTCGATATATATATATTAACCTAGAGCCGAAGAAATAAAACGAAGCAGTTGTACAACAATCAAACTTCATTTATTGTCCTCATTAATTATATACGAAACATTATTTTCTGCTTTATTACTCACAACTGTAAGTAAAATGAACAACAAAATGAAGTTCGAATTATTACAGAACGAAATTTTATTCAATCTATTTGATTATTTGAATAGTGTTGATCTTCTTCATGCATTTTATGGTCTCAATTATCATTTCAATTTTCTTCTCTATGAACAATATCGATCTTATCGTTTCATATTTTATTTTATATCAAAATATAATTTTGATATAATATGTTCACAACATCTACCATTTATTGTTGATCGAATTATTGATCTTAGTCTTTCTGATCGTGAAAATACTCCAGGACAAATTAATTTACTTCTATCTTACATACCGTCATTTAGTCAATTTACTCAATTACGATCACTTTCAATATTTCATCTTCATTCATATAATATATTAATGAAAATCGTCAATGAATGTCATCATCTTAATCATCAAATTTTCAATCAGTTGTCAACATGATATGGAATTTATCTAAACTTACTCATTGCAATGATGATATTTCCATACAAAGATGGAATTCTTTATCTATACCATCAAACATTTCAACATCTCTCAAATATTTCAATCTGTATAATAATCAACTTAAATGGAATCAGATAAACAAATTGTTTGAACATACACCTCATCTTAAATATCTTTCGTTAGTAATTTCTTCTGATACCAATGATAATTATATACTATTTTCTTCTCTTTCATCGTTAATCGATTTGAAGATTAGTATTTATTCTACACCTGACACATCGAGAATTATTTCCTTTTTACAAAATACACCTAATCTACGTCGTTTTGATATTACTTTAGGGTCTAAATTAACCAATGGTCATCAATGGAAACAAATCATTTGTAACTATTTATCAAAATTGATAGTATTTCAATTCAAAATGAAACATAGATTTGATGCTAATCATGATATACAAGAACAAGTGAATGAACTAGTTAATTCATTTCGAAGTTCATTTTGGATTAATGAACATAAATGGTTTATCTGATGCATTACATCAAGCAATACTATTCATCTTGACTCTTTATCAAAATTACCTAATGGCTATGAATATAAACAACTTAATTCGTGGCAATCAACAAGAGTATTATTATAATATGAATCGCATTTATAGCGATAGTTTTTTTAGACCCACCGATTCCATCAAATATTAGTTTATCAAACATTCAGGATCTTCATATAAATCTTCCTATCAATAATCAATTTTGGTCAATGGTTCCAAGTTTAAAACGACTCTATTCACTTAGAATATCGTCTTATACTGATAGTTTTTATTCTCAATTGCAATTTTTACTTGATGAAGCACTTCATCGACACATACATATTAACTGTTCGTCAAGATGCCTCATTACCATTTCAATCATCATTATTCAAATTAACATATACAACAATTCGTAAACTTCATTTAGATTATTATTATCATTTTTTCAATGAAGAAAAATGTGTTAGCTTGAGTCATTCGTTATTGGGTACTCAGTGTCAAGTACTTTATATTCGAGTTGAAAATCTCGAAAATATTATTATTCTTATTAAAAATATGATCAATCTTCGAGCATTATATGTTAAATTCACAGATGAAAAGACTTCTGCATACTGGTTTGGATTAAAACATAATGATAAATTTTTCGATACAACAGCAATAAACAAAGATGAAGCTATTCAATTGTTAAAAGATCATTTGCTGGCAAAGTGTTTTATCGAAAGAGAACTAGACTTGGACGGCTCGATTCAAATATGGATTAAATAGTGGAATAACAACTACACGCATCGATTAATCATAAATTAAATCATCTAAGAATGCTCCTTCTTGTTTTTGTTAAACTCAATTTTGATTTGTAAAAATAAAAGTACACTTGATTGAAAATAGACATGATTCTCTATGCAAACAAGAGTTACACATTCTTCATATAAAGAAACATCGAGCTTGACTGAAATCATGGAATGGTTTTTTTATGCTTAATACAGCTTTTTGTACTGACCATAAATATAGAAAAGATCAAGAATATGCCATTCATTACAAGATACTAACAAAGTGAAAAATGCATAAGTGTACATTGATGGAAGTTTTAAATAAGGACAAGAAAAAAAAATTTCATGAAAGAAAAACAATGTTATCTACAAACATAAAGACACTATTAGAACTAACTTGAGAATGAAGGTGAGAGTGTTTATTGTATTATCTTAAATCTTTATTTGACTTACACCCACACTCATCCATGCTTGTCATTCGTGCGAAAGAAAATTCATTTTTGTGTAAATATGTGAAAGTCAACTGGTGAATATGTATGAGATTGAAGAAATGGAAGTGAATTTCGCTTACATAAATAACATCCTATAACAACAGATGTACATAATAAATTTATCGTTCATTTGAAAGGAAACAACAGTATCTATCATATGACTATTAAAAGCCGATATTAATTCAAAAGAAGAATCAATAACGAAAATAAATTATTTGAAAACGAATTTTACGTTGCATTCTGTTACTAATATTTTCTCAATTATAAATATTTTAATCTTCGATTGTGTAACAATCTACAGAACTACTCAAATTCCTCATTTTTCCTGATGTTTATATGTTTTATCTAAGACTATCGAATTTTGTTTTGTGTGATAAAACTAACTTCATAATATTTCAATAGAGCTAATGGAAAGTCTTTGTATTCAGATCGATTACAATTTCTTCTTTTTCTTCGCATTAAACAACAATCCAACATCGATCTGTTGATTTCTTCTCAAATTCGCATCAAATTAGTAATAAGAAGTTTACTTATAGATCGAATACAAAAGAATGAAGCTTCTTTTAGAAATAATAATACAAGGATAAAAAACACAAAACAAGGTAAATACAATTGAAATACAAAGAAGATCACGGAAAAAAGTGAAAAATAGTGTTTTGNCGGGTAATACAAATGGCCCAGATCTATTTGGATAAAATGAACATCAATACAAATAATTCGAAGTGAAGCTTTCGTGGATGACACAGTGGCCATCCTAAACCACATAGTACCTGATCACAATGAAATTGATTCCAGATCAATTTATTATTTTTGTTACTTTATTTACATTTTTTACAGATTCTGTACTTTATCTCAAGTTTTGAAATGCAAGACGATCTTGTGGCAGTAAACATTGCAACATGTTAGCAGCACCCTCGTGTTTTTGTAACACTATCATTTGTCACAGTGTAGGGCACACAGTTTTAAATAGTTACGTATCGAATAGTCATGTTTACATTATCAAAATGATCTCTCTATTGTTGTGAGCATGGTTGGGATCATTCAAAAGTGTTTACTATACGGAGGTGTTTAATTTAGAGAATTGAGGCATAATTTGTTGTGCCACGAAGCAAAAGTTCCAGAAAATCTGCTTCAGCATTAGTTCAGCATAAAGAACTGGTTATTTATTCTCTTGTATAACACAAAACTTAGTTTGTTTCAGAAATTCTCTAATGTTGTTTGTCTTTTTGCTTTCGAATTAATATATGCTACTAGCCAAAAGTATTTCACTCCGACCTCAGCTATTACAATAGCTGAATGCGTGTGTGCGATTAAAAAGCTGCTCACATCCACAATTTCTCCTGATTCTAAAAACCACTGTTCGACACATTTGTCACTGTCTGTGTGTGTGTGGAGGGGGAGGAGGGGGAGCGGAGATTCAAATTTTTCGCTTCACGTCTTCAACACTCATTTTCAATCATGTTTCATAAAATAAAAAACCTGATTTCATTTATGAAAATGTCTAACAACTCAAGCTAAATTGTTCTTCGTCTTAATAAGATCATTGCTAATATCTATCGAATTACTTTTCCTCCTTTGATCATTTTTGGTCTTATTGGTCATTTGCTTGATATAATTATATTCATTCGACCAAAGATTTTTTAAAATTCATGTTGTAATTATTATCTTACATCATCATGCGCTTCTATTATTCAAGTTCTATTGGGTCAATTATTTCGTTTATTAAAAGGTGATTATAATATTCGGATATCAATTCTTTGGTGGTGTCGAGTGCATAGATTTGCAGTATATTCAGCTTATCTGACATCAACAGCTCTAATCATACTTGCCTCTGCCGATCGTTATGCTTCATCGTGTTATCAAGTAAAATATCGCCAAGGGGCTCATGTTAAAGTTGCACCGCGTTTAATTCCCATAGTTTTAATTATTTCAGATCTTTGTCATTCACATATGCTAACTTTATTTGCTGTCAATAAAAATGAAGACAATGAATATTGGGCTCTGAAAAACACTGATTATCGATTAGGTTTTGATATTGGGTTTTTTATTGCTCATGGACTAATCTTTCCATTACTAATGAGTACGTTTGGTTTTCTTACAATTTGCAATATACGTCGACAACAACGTTATTCTGATCAACAAAATCGAACATCAAATTTGAGACGTTATCGTGTTCGAGACTTTCAACGGATGACACTTGTCCAAACAGACTGTGCCATTATATTCACTCTTCCATATGTTATTCAAAAGTTACATCGAACAGTAACTGATTCTGATGGTAAAAGTCCTGAAGAAGTAGCATGGGAACGGCTGAGCTTATGTATAGTACGAGTGTTATGGGTTTTTCATGATAGTCGCTTCTTTTATATCTATTCACTTTCATCCGTGAAATTTCGCCATGAATTATTTAGATTTCTTGATGAACATCTACCTTAAAGAATAAATCAAGCTCTAAAGATAACAACACCAGTGAAAACATCTGTTGAAAACAAGATCAATAAAGAATCGTAAAAAAGAGACTAGGAATTGAAAATTTAGAAGTGTAAGTTTTGAATACTTGTTTATAATTCTTTTTTTTTTGTACGAAGTTCAATTCAGCATTGTCGTTTTGTTTGTTTTTCTCAGATAATAATGATGCTATTCTACTTGGAAGTATCAAAATCAACGCTTACGTTTATATTTGATTAGCAGTGAATAAAGAAAATAAAAGGATGAAAATATTACTCTACCATGATCAACTTTTGAGTTTCTTATTCTATATATTTATGAAATTTAGTGAATAAAAGATAATGATATACATTACAAAGAAAATGATCTCACAGGTGAGAATATAGTAAAATTGTTTGCTTTTTACTGATATTGCAGCATAGTGTTAGAATGATACCTAGAATAAAATATAAATAATATTATAGTATATTAAACTCAGCTTAGATAAAATAGAGGGATGTCATAATATCAATATTCCGAGTGTCGAGACCTGCAATATGAATACTCAGCAGAATGACCTCAATGTTTCAGCTAGGAAATATATTCTTAGAGTGGAAGATTTTGAGTAAATATGAAGTATAAGAAAAAGAGCGAAGAGATTGATATACAAACTGAACTAGGCGTTATAGTGTTTACAGCAATCAGTCATAACGAATACTGACAATATTTCAGACTAGTCATGACAGTAGTCGATATATATATTAACCTAGAGCCGAAGGAATAAAACAAAGCAGTTGTACAGCAATCAAACTTCATTTATTGTCTTCATTAATTATATACGAAACATTATTTTCTGCTTTATTACTCACAACTGTAGGTAAAATGAAAAAAAAATGAAGTTCGAATTATTACCGAACGAAATTTTATTTGATCTATTTAATTATTTGAATGGTGTTGATCTTCTTCATGCATTTTATGGTCTCAATTATCATTTCAATTTTCTTCTCTATAAACAATATCGATCTTATCGTTTCATATTTAATTTGATATCAAAATATAATTTTGATATAATATGTTCACAACATCTACCATTTATTGTTGATCGAATTATTGATCTTAGTCTTTCTGATGGTGAAAATACTCCAGGACAAATTAATTTACTTCTATCTTACATACCATCATTTAGTCAATTTACTCAATTACGATCACTTTCAATATTTCATCTTCATTCATATAATATATTAATGAAAATCGTCAATGAATGTCATCATCTTAATCATCACATTTTCAATCAGTTGTCAACATGATATGGAATTTACCTAAACTTACTCATTGTAATGATGATATTTCCATACAAAGATGGAATTCTTTATCTATACCATCAAACATTTCAACATCTCTCAAATATTTAAATCTGTATAATAATCAACTTAAATGGAATCAGACAAACAAATTGTTTGAACATACACCTCATCTTAAATGTCTTTCGTTAGTAATTTCTTCTGACATCAATGATTATTATAGATAATCTTCTGCTCTTCCAGCATTAATTGATTTGAAGATTAGTATTTATTCTACATCTGACACATCGAGAATTATTTCCTTTTTACAAAATACACCAAATCTACGTCGTTTGGATATTACTTTTGGGGTCTAAATTAACCAATGATCATCATTGAAAACAAATCGTTTGTAACTATTTATCAAAATTGAAAGTATTTCAATTCGAAATGAAACATAGATTTGATGCTAATCATGATATACAAGAACAAGTGAATGAACTAGTTAATTCATTTCGAAGTTCATTTTGGATTAATGAACATAAATTGTTTATCCGATGCATTACATCAAGCAATACTATTCATCTTGACTCTTTATCAAAATTACCTAATGGCTATGAATATAAACAACTTGATTCGTGGCAATCAACAAGAGTATTATAATAATATGAATCGCATTTATAGCGATAGTTTTTTTTGACCCACCGATTCCATTCAATATTAGTTTATCAAACATTCAGGATCTTCATATAAATCTTCCTATCAATAATCAATTTTGGTCAATGGTTTCAAGTTTAAAACGACTCTATTCACTTAGAATATCGTCTTATACTGATAGTTTTTATTCTCAATTGCAATTGTTACTTGATCAAGCAGTTCATCTACACATATTAACTGTTCGTCAAGATGCCTTATTACCATTTCAATCATCATTATTCAAATTAACAAGTACAACAATTCGTAAACTCCATTTAGATTATTAATTATCATTTTTTCAATGAAGAAAAATGTGTTACATTGAGTCATTCGTGATTGGGTACTCAATATCAAGTATTTTATATTCAAGTTGAAAATCTTATTATTCTTATTAAAAAGATGATCAATCTTCGAGCATTATATGTTAAATTCAAAGATGAAAAGACTTCTGCATACTGGTTTGTATTAAAAAATAATGATAAATTTTTCGATACAACAACAATAAACAAACATGAAACTATTCAATGGTTAAAAGTTCATTTGCCGGCAAAGTGTTTTATCGAAAGAGAACGTGACTTGGAAGGCTTGATTCAAATATGGATCAAATAGTGAAATAACAACTACACGCATCGATTAATCCTGAATTATATCATCTAAGAATGTTTTTTTTTGTTAAACTTGATTTTGATTTGTGAAAACAAAAGTACACTTGATTGAAAATAGACATGATTCTCTATGCCAACAAGAGTTAAACATTCTTCATATAAAGAAACATCGAGCTTGACTGAAATCATGGAATTTTTTTTTTATGCTTGATACAGCTTTTTGTACTGACCATAAATATAGAAAGATCAAGAATATGCCATTCATCACAAGATACTAACGAAGTGAAAAATGCATAAGTACATTGATAGAAGTTTTAAATCAGGACAAGAAAAAAAATGTTATCTACAAACATAAAGACATTGTTAGAATTATCTTGAGAATGCAGGTGAGAGTATTTATTGTATTATCTTAATCTTTATTTGCCTCACACCCACATTCATCCACGCTTGTCGTCTGTGCGAAAGAAAATTCATTTTTGTGTAAATATGTCAAAGTTGACTTTCAAATTCAGTGAAAGTCAATCGGTGGATATGTATGAGATCGAAGAAATGGAAGTGAATTTCGCTTAAATAAATAACATCCTATAATAAAAGATGTACCTAATAAATTTATCGTTCATTTGAAAGGAAACAATAGTATCTATCATATGACTATTAAAAACCGATATTAATTCAAAAGAATCAATAACAAAAATAAATTATTTGAAAACGAATTTTATGTTGCATTCTGCTACTAATATTTTCTCAATTATAAATATTTTAATCTTCGATTGTGTAAAAATCTACAGAACTACTCAAATTCCTTATTTTTCCTGATGTTTATATGTTTGACTAAGACTCAAATTTTGTTTTGTGTGATAAAACTAACTTCATGATATTACAATAGAGCTAATGAAAAGTCTTTGTATTCCGATCAATTACAATTTCTTCTTTTTCTTCGCATTAAGCCACAATCCAACATCGATCTGTTGATTTCTTCTCAAATTCGCATCAAATTAGTAATAAGAAGTTGAAGAAGTTTACTTATAGATCGAATACAAAGGAATGAAGCTTCTTTTAGCAATAATAATACAAAGATAAAAAACACCCAACAAGGTAAATACAATTGAAATACAAATAAGATCACGGAAAAAAGTGAAAAATAGTGTTTTGTTCAATATTTGTTGATCAATATATTCTATTCAGTTGACAATGACTAATTTTAAAATAGCAATGGTGACAACAAGAACAAAAGACATCACTCGTACTCCAGCTCCAAAAGTAGCCAGTGCCATCAATAACAGTGTTATATTCATAGTAGATATCAGTAGTGGATGAACCACGACTTACAAAATTTACTCGACCTTTTATCATCGCAGTTATCTTCAAAAATGCGAGAAAAGAAAAGCATTCTCTTATTCGAACTATGAACAGAAACATATCGTTAGTAGCTATGTTTACCAATAGCCAAACGCACCAGATTACAAAGTTACAATATTAATACAATTCATACAATCATAGTACATGTGATACTTCACACCAACATTAACCCAAGAAAAGAATGAAACTGAACGCATTATAGCGAAGTGATGCATCCATTTAAAGAAGATAATTATTAATGTCGGATTTTTTTTAAAGTATTAACGACCATTTTCTGAATAACTTTTGATTACTTTGAGTTATCGAGCTGCGGTTTTCACCATTCAAAAGAGCAAGCCGGGGGCTACAAAATCCTAC